TTTTGGTCCAGAACTTTCTAAGACCCAGACAGGCCTGCTGGTCTCGTGGTGCGGGTCTTTAAAACCCCGTCTGTTTAAGGAGAAGTGATCGAGCTGCTGCAGGCAGGAGAGGAACAGAACCAGCATTTAAAAGTCTTTTGTTAACGGTTACAATTTATTTTCTGTTGATTTTATCAGCAGAGACGCCATTGAAGGTTTAGTTTATCGCTCAGGTATTTAATGTGTTTTATTCAGAATGTTTCTCTGAAGGTGGACGATGTGTCAGACCTCCGAGTGACTCGACAGCTGCTGAGTGAAGCTGAGAGGCTTTCATGCAGCTGTAAATCAGGTCTGTGCAACAGACGACACCCACAGACCCGTAATCATCACAGCTCCCACCGACAGAGGATTCAAGTTAAAGATGGATCTACTGCTCTTCGAAGGGAGCCGGATCTTGTAGATCCGGTCCTTCCAAAGAGCCGTTGAACAGTTAGTCATGTGGGACAGTCGTGCGTTTCCTGTGAGGGTCTGCATCCGAGGAGGAAACGAGAACGACTCTCAACCGTCAGCGACTCGATTCCCACCTTTCCTTTTTAAGAGCCGTTCAAAAGATTTCAGATTGTTCATGAACGCCACGCAGCCGGTTAGCTGTACCTCACACGAACGTCAGCGCCCTGATCCGTGTTTTCATCTGTTTCAGATTTATGATGCAGAGGGAACGTTGCAGCACTTCATTGATGGCAACGATCCCAGTAAGTCCAGTTGGATGAGGTACGTCCGCTGTGCCAGACACTGTGGAGAGCAGAACATGATGGTTGTACAGTACAGGTAAGAGACTCGCACCTGGTGGGGTCGTTACTCGTTATTAAGGTGTGTTTAGAACAGAAGACAGGAAATGACACTGACAAACTGTCGTCCTCTGTCCCACCATCTACATCAGGAAGCTGGACGGAGCGCCTCTGTCTCCTCCAGTTCTAATATGAAGCTAAACTGTCCCAGTTTATGGGTGCCGCCATGTTGTATCACAGGAGCCAGACTTTAAGCCCCGCCCACTGCCTCACAGTCAATCTGTGTTTTTATTTTTAGGGATCAAACAACTAATTTCGACAAAACATTCTTAATAAAAGAGCGAGCGACAGTAAGACCTACATGAATCAACACCTGGTCAAACATTACCTCAGTCGAGGTTTCTGTGTGAGGTCACATGTTAACACGCTGGGGGTGGGATGGGGCACATGCACCGCTGCTTCTACGTTTGCTCATGTTAAACAATAACAGTCTGTAGTTTTATGGTAGTTTAATATTAGTGGAGACAAACAGAACATCTGCTGATTCCAGGAGAAGCACACATTATTTAAAAGGAGTGAAGTGATGTTCCCACTGGGTGGAGTTTGCATGTTCTCTCCGTGCTGCGTGGGTTTTCTCCGGGTGCTCCAGTTTCCTCCCACAGACCAAAAACATGCATGTTAGGCTGATGGTGACTCTGAATTGTCCCCAGGTGAGAGAGAGAGTGAATGGTTGTTTGTCTCTGTGTCCCTGTGAGTAGTTTCTACAGATTCACAAGATGTTTGTAGAGATCTGGTGGAGGTCTGATGAATGTGTGTAGTAGACTACCTGTATAAATAAAGGTTAAATAAATAAAAAGTTCGGGGCTCTGTGAAAGATGTTCCTCATGGGGTGAGGACGATGCTGACGAAGGTGAGCTTTCACCCCTCGGCTGCCCACAGGAGCCTAATGATCTGAAGGCAGATGGGACCAGAGCACCACTGGTACCACTGGTACTGTGATGGACCCCTGAAGAAGGTCCACCTGAAGAAGGTCCATGTACAGCCTTGTGGTGAACTTCTAATGATTCAGAGAAGGTTTGACAGAAAGTTCTGTGAACAGATGAGACCAACATTCATTTCTTTGGTGTAGTCCAGAGACCTGGATTAGATGTAGAGATGTTATGATGGGCTCAGATCTGACGGTCGCCCTCGACTTGAACTCTTTAACAAATCAGGCTTGAGACTTTGACAAAGACGGCGGGTGATATGCATTCCAGGAAGGTTGCTGTCTTTTCCTGGCAGCTCCACCTAGTTCTTTCATTCGAAGCTTTTGTAGCTGAAATGGTCAGAACTTCCTTTAAAGACGGTTTTTACTGTAACTGTCAGTTTGGATGCCAAGAAGACGCAGCAGGAATGCAGCTTGGGCTGAATGTGAGTCACCATTTAACTTTGGACAAGCATGCGGGGGGATTTTTTACCAAACATTTCCTGTTCTTGTGACGCTCATTATTATTCAACAGGCTGCAGGAGCCATTTGGACATGTACATGTTTGTTACTGCTTGTAGTTGTTTTTATGTTCTCGTGATCAGATGTTGTCTTGGGAATGTGAGGGGACGTCCTCGTCACACCTGCACAGCTGAGGAACTTTCATTTTAGAGTCACTGCAGAAATGTTTGCACAGATTTATTTCAACACCGTTTCAAACAGATCTTCATAAATAATAATAATAAGTGTTTGAGTGCTCACGTCATGATTAATTTTGAAACAGACCAGTTAAATACAATTTTCAGACTTTCAGCTTTCATTCTGTGCATAAAACTCTGAATAAATCTGATTCTTGGTGTCCGTTTGCCAACATGCCCAGAGCTACTACCGGAAAATTCTACTAAATAATAAAAAATCAATGGTTAAAACTAGGGATGCACAATATTATTGGCATGGTATCGATATCGGCCGATATTAGCAATAAAGTTAAGTATTGGACATCGGCCATTCCATCACAATAACTCAGCGATATAAAAGGCATGGTTTATAAATATATATAAATATATATACATGCATAGTTGAGGATGAATTAATAAAAGGCACTGATTTTGTACGACAACCCAGTGACAAGGATGCCTGCAGCATCCGCTCAGCGTTATGACATCATGCACGCCGCTGAGTTTAGATTTGTGAAAATGTACAAATTTTCACTGTTCGAGTGTCGTCATTGTGTTAGAAAGAGTAAATGTCGTGAATAAATTTGATATCAAACATAATCCAGGTTGAAGTGTTACATCATTTTCAGACCCATTTTTGGCATCTGCATTTGGAAGGAGGCCAAACTGACAAAGACCATGTAGAGTAATGTCGTGTTTTAATTCAACAGCAGAGAAAGTCTCTGTAGTTTCTGTAAGTACGTCCAGGAAACAGAATATCGGTATCGGTTGGTTATTGGCCAAGTAAGTTTTAACATATCGGCCAAAAATCCAATATTGTGCATCCCTATTTAAAACAAAGAAAACTTCCCCCAAACTATCAACTATAAATGTTATTCAAGATTACAGTACAACTTTATTTATAAAGCACTTTAAAAACAGCACCGTTAGCCAAAGTGCTGTACACTAACACAAGCATAAAAACCATCAAATCAACAGATGCCATAAAAGTAATGAACTGTTAAAATCATAAAAGAGCAAACGGTAAAAACAATAAAAACAAATAACTTGAAAACAGTAAAACCAACATTTCAAGCTGAGTTAAAAGCCAACGAGAAAAAAAAAAGTCTTCAGAGCAGATTTAAGAACAGGAAGTGACGTCAGGGGCTGTTTAGGGTCAGCGACTGAGAACGCTCGGTCACCTCTCAGCCTCATGTTGGACTTTGGAACGACCAACAGCAGCTGATCTGCTGAGCTGAGAGAGAGGGGGAACATCTGGAGCTGGTCGAACAGATACTGTGAGACCAGGAAGACGCTTGAAAACAAATAAAAGAACCTTAAAATTAATCCAGAAACGAACTGGGAACCAATGTGGTGATTTTCAAATGGGGGTGATGTGCTCTTGTTTTGTGGTAGTTAAAAGGCGACCAGCAGCATTCTGAACCAGCTGAAGTCCAGTCAGTGACGACTGGCTCAGACCCACACAAAGTGAGTTACAGTAGTCCGGACGAGTTGTAATGAAAACATGGATTATAATCCCTAAATGATGTTGTGACAGAAATGGTTGGGCCTTGGCCGGTTGTCTCAGGTGATAAAAGCTGGACTTGATCACTGATTTAATCTGTGAATCAAGTTTAAAATCACACCCAGGTTAGCTGCTGTCTGTCAGGTGATGTGTTCAAGGACCCAGATCAGCACGGACTTTGCATTACTTATGATCCCTTATCATGTCTGAGCTTAATATATACATCTTAAACAGAGTGTTACTTGTCTTGTTACACCTGCAGTACAAGAACATTTGGCAGATTGAGTAGACCTGTCACGATAACAAATGATGCTGGGCGATTAATTGTCTCAGAAATTATTGCGATAAACGATATTGTTTTAAATTGGACAATAATTAGTAATTATTGTCAAATCTAAGAAGAAATGTTGGTTAATTTTTGTGTGTAGTACCTTTTTCAACCACTGGATGGCAGTTACTGACTGACTCAAAGGATGGATAGTGAGAGAGCGAGCAGTGTTTTTTTAAAGAATAATGGGAGGGAGGCCTCTTGACATGACATGGGCTGTCTCTCTTCGGTTCTCAAAATGGCGGATGCTCGGTGTGGTTTGATTTATCGTTTGAGTTCATGGTTGATGGTACAATTCTAGGTGCTGCATGCTAATTTACATCTCCTGATAAACTGACTGTACTCTTTTGTAAAAGAAAGTAAAAACCCTCCAACTGAAATTAGTTTAAATGGACAGAGTAAGAATTAAAATACAAACAAATCAACTAATGAACACCAGTTACTGTTTTTAAATCTGATGCAAGACAAACGTGTTTGACATGTAACCTTGAGCAAAATGAGAAAAAAAATCGAGCCTACATGTCACGTCAAATTTATTTATAAAGCACATTTAAAACAGCAGCTGTTTCCAAAGTGCTTTACAATAAAAATCCATGGCAGAAATAAAAATAACAATAGTTAAAAAGAAAAACAGAATGAACACAGAACATTAAACTAAGTGAAATGACACTGTGTTAAAAGCCAGAGACGACGGAGGTGTTTCACAAACAGCCGATGGGTGACCTGAGATCCTCGTGACACTGGAACTGTTGTCCACGTCTCACAAAATGCTGCAGCTCTGGTTGTCTTCACCTTTCTTCACCTGCTCCTGGATCCACAGGTCGATGTCGTCCTCATGAAGTCTCTTCAGCTCGTTGAGTTGCGTTTTGATCTCCTCCTCGCTCTGGAAGCAGAGCGTCGATCGTAGCTCTTTCATCTCTTCTTCGTGCTTTTGCAGCAGCTCGTCGTAACTTTTCTGACACACTTTGTTTTTCGTCAGCTGCTTTATTAAAAGATTGTTTTGTTGCTGCTGCTTCTGTTTCATGTCCTCCAACACAGCTGAAACATCTCCGCTGTATTTCTGCTTGAACTCGTTGAATTCTTCAGCTTGTTTTCTGGCTTCCTCAAAGTTTTTCTTCTGGATTTGCTCTAGGCGCTTGCTGAACAATTCTTTTGCTTCCTTCCATTCTCTGTCCTCCTTTTCTTTTCGTATTTGATCCTCCTCTTGCCTTTTGAGTTCGTACATCGTTTTTTCCTGCTCGTATACTTCTCTGAGCTTTTCCATTTGTTTCTGCTCTTCTTCACGTTTCTTTTCTTCCTCACGGCAGTGCTCCTCCCACCATTCCTTCCTCTCCTGCTCCCAGGCCTCTCGTTCTTGTCGTATTGATTCTTTGCTTTGTAATAATATTTTATTTATACTCTTTTGTGTATTTGCTTTCTTCAGGTTTTCATCTTTTTCATCCCATTCGCGTCGTTTCACTTCCTCTTCCCTCATCTTGACCTTCTTTTCTTGTTCCCTCTTTACCCTCTCCCTCTTCATCTCCTCCTCCTCCTTCTTAATGTTCTCCTGCTTTTCCTTCATTTTTTGGTCTACCTGATTTGTTTGTTCATTCATTTTAGCTGTTCGTTCTGCAGATTGAGTTCTTTTTTGTTGAAGTTCTTCTTGATGTTTCATTTCAAAGTTCTTCTGTAGTTCCTGTAGCTCTTCGTTTTTCCTCTTTAGTATCTTCTTCATTTCCTTCTGTATGGCTGCTTCTGCCTCTCCGAACATATTTGAGGTGTAATGGCCACCGCCATTTTTCTTCATCATTTCTTCCACCTTGTTTAGCAGCTCGTTCACTTGAGAACGATCGTCATCATTGTTGTTGAAGACTTGGTATCTCTCTCCACATTCAGTTATCAGTCTTTTAACAAAACTATCACCTTCTTCTATGTAACTCTCAAACGTTTGTTTCCTGAGATCATCTCCTTTGGTAAAAACAACGATGATGAAGTTCTCCGCCTTCTTGCCAAAGAATTCCCTGATCAGCTCCACAGTTTGTTTTTCCTCCTTTGTGAAGCGTCCGATCTGTAGGATGAGTAAGAAGACGTGAGGTCCAGGAGCCAGCAGGCTGACGCATTTCACGAGTTCTCGTTTGATCTCGTTGTTGGATAGAGCCGTGTCGAACAAGCCTGGTGTGTCGACAACAACGATGGGACGGCCATTGATCTCTCCTGTTTCCTTTTGACAAACTTTAGTTATTGACCGTTGACAGACCTTCGAATTAAAGCGTTCTTCGCCTAAGATGGTGTTGGCAGTGGCACTTTTACCACAGCCGGTCTTCCCAACCAGCACCATCCTGAGAGGCTCTGTGCTCTGCTCCTTCCGATCAACTGGACGTATTCCTTTGTATTTATTTTTACAGCTCTCTGGATTCATGGAGTTTGTGCGCCTTCTAACAGGAGGTTTGGGAAACATATCTTTGGTAAAACCAGTGGATCCTGCAGGTTTCATTTTCTCCACACTTTGTAACACTTCAGATACATCATGTTTATCATTGACGTTGAAGACTACGTATCGTCCTTCACAACACTGACAGAGCTCCTGGATGTCCCCGTTTCCTCGCAGAAACCACAGCTCAGCTGACGTTGCTTTTGCCTCCATATAGAAAAGAATCATTGTGAATCCATTAACCCTTGAGCTGAAGATGTTCTTGATGGTTTCCAGCTCTTTTTTGTCTTCCTCAGTAGGACTATCCAAAGGTAGGACCAACATGAAGGCGTGGATACCTTCAGGCTCACAAAGGGAGACGCATCTAAATAATTCCTTGTTTGCTTCTTCCTTTGGTTTTCCGTACAAAGCCGGGAGCTCCAGTGTGGAGACCTGTTGTCCACACACCTCTCCTTGATTTTTACTAATCTGTGAGCGATCCATTGCACCAAAGTCTTTTCCCAGAATTCCACAAACTGTTGCTGTTTTAATGGCTGCGTGTCTCCCGCAGAGGACCAGGTTCAGACGTGGTTTAACCGATGTAGGCGCATCTCTTGGATCAGCCTCTTCAGCAAATGCTAAATGTTGCCCCCTGTTTTCTCTCACTAAGTTCTCCATTTGATCCATCAGTTTTTGGAGATCATTGTTAGAAATATTTTTTTGACTTAAGTTAACTCTGAGGTTCCTTTGTCCACATTCTTGGACCAGTTGATTCACGGATGAACTGGTTCTCTCTGTGTTTTGAGTTGTGATGACCATTGCGTAGCTACAGGCATCTTGTCCAAGCAAACTCATAACGGATCGGACTTTCTGCCTGTCCGCCTCAGTGAAGTCTGATGGATTCACCAGAAGCAGCAGGACATTTGGTCCGGGCGGACAAGAAGCCACAAACATCTTCATGTCATGTCGAGCTTTGTCCACAGACTGACTCAGGATGTCACCTGTTTTTATCAGTGTGAAAGGGTTTTTTCTCCACTCGCCATGAAGAAGTTTAAATGACTTTTTGACATTTTGGAAAGAAACGTCTTCTTTCCCGGTCATGAAGTTACAAATTGTTGTCTTCTCATGATGGTTTTTTCCAAGTAACACCACCCTCAGGTCATACACTGAAAAACAACGAAAGAAAGAGAATAAAGAGGATTGGTACATCTCAGGTTTGTGACAAATATAATTTAGTACCTACAGTCTGAGTATTTAAACTACAAGTATAAAGTACAAATGGAAGTAAAATATTTGCTGAAATTAAATGTGTTCATGTAAAAGTACAACCGAGTGTAAATCAATGCATTTAGATGTTTGTGTAGCTCTGAGCTCACCATCTTATCTTATCTATCTGATAGATTCCAGTTTGTAAATATAAATAATAAATCCAACATTTTTCAGTCAGGTCAGATGACCTGACTGAAAAATGTTGGATTGTATACCTGGATTATTGAGCATGGACTTTGTTGTAAATAATAAATCTTCATCATACACTAAAGTTAGTCATGGAGTTCCTCAAGGTTCAGTGCTTGGACCTATACTCTTTACCTTGTATATGCTTCCATTAGGTAAAGTTATTAAAAAACATGGGATAAATTTTCATTGTTATGCTGATGATACACAGTTATATTTGTCCATGAAACCCAATGAATCCAATCAGCTACTTAGACTACAAGCATGTCTTAAAGACATAAAAACCTGGATGTCCCTTAATTTCCTGCTTTTGAACACAGACAAGACTGAGGTTTGAGTGTTTGGCCCTGAGCGTTTCAGGAATGAATGTTTCAGTCTTTCTCCCTCCTTAGATGCATTAATCTGTCCTCCAGCTCTAATGTTAAAAATCTTGGTGTTATTTTTGATCAGGACACGTCTTTTATCCCCCACATTAAAAACGTTACTAGAACCTCCTTCTTCCACCTGCGTAATATCACTAACATTAGAAACATCTGATCTAAAGATGATGCAGAAAAACTGGTCCATGCATTTGTCACGTCTAGACTGGACTTTTGCAATGGTTTATTATCTGGGTGTCCAAATACTTCTTTAAAACGTCTTCAGTTGATCCAAAATGCTGCTGCCAGAGTCTTAACTGGAGTTATTGGGGAGATCATCTCTCTCCAGTTTTAGCTTCTCTCCATTTCAGTGTTTCCCCTACCATTATACAAGCGGGGCGCCCTGCCCCATCAACAAAGCCGAGCACCCCGTCTACCGACCCCCCCCCCCCCCCTTCCCAATTATTATTTTTTAATCGAAGACGAGATGAGCGCCCTGCCATGGCAAGTTATGTAGAGGAAACACTCCATTGGCTCCCTGTCAAGTCCAGAATAGAATTCAAAATCTTACTTCTAACCTACAAAGCTCTCAACAACCTAGCTCCATCTTATATTACAGATCTTATTGTTCCATATTTTCCTAACAGAGCACTTCGCTCTCAGACTGCAGGTTTACTTGTGGTTCCTAGAGTTTTCAGCAGCAGAATGGGAGGAAGATCTTCCAGTTCTCAGGCTCCTCTCTTGTGGAACCTAGTTCCAGTTTCTGTCCATGAGGCTGACACATTTTTAAGACTTTCCTTTTTGATAAATCCTATAGTTAGGGTCGGCTTGTTATGCTGCTATAGACTTAGACTACTAGAGGACACATTGACCTCATTTCCTTAAATGAATTGTTAAAATTGAATAGATTTGATACTATTTCTATCTTAACATGTGATTCTTGACCTGCCATTGTGTATCTGTTCCTACCAAACCCAGCCGGTCGAAGCAGATGGTCCTCTGGTCCTGATCCTGGTTCTGCTAAAGGTTTCTTCCTCATGAGGGAGTTTTTCTTTCCACTGTCGCCTTCATGCTTGTTCAAGATGAGAGTTCTGTGATGGAGTTAAACTCAAAGCTGCTCCTCAGATAAATAACGTTAAATTATTATTTTATATTTGAATGTTTCTGTTCAGTCCCTGAGACGACTTCTGTTGTGACTTGGAGTTTTATAAATAAATTTAATTGAATTGAATGAATCTTCACGCCTTATTTCTTGGGATCTTTTGACACATGAGTACAAGTACCGTAGTTTTAACGAGAATACTTTGTGTCTATTTAACGTCTCCATCAAATCTTTACATGACCTGCTTGTCAGCATTTCATTCTTTTATCTACAACAAGTTACCAGAAATGATGCTCAGCTTCTAAATGCTTTTTGTTTCATAACTTCCACACAAGGTTTGTGGAACTTACCAGATGTTGACGTCATTTTCACAGCATAAATTCCCAAACAGAACCTGTTGCCTGAAAGGAAGAAGCAAAACCAATAAAAGTACAGATAATTAATTATTTAAGAAAATGTTACTTTAGTCTTAAAAACCCAATTCACGTCATTGATTTAACAAACATTTCTGTTTCTATTAACGTGTAAAAAGATGAGTTTTCTTCTTTGTGGTATGAGTTGTTTAACCATCCAAGCGTGAGCTGAAAGTATTTCTATCAGTATCACCACCCTGAGTGTGGAACAGTCCTCGTACTGACGGTTCAAGTTGATGTGCAGAGTTTGTCTGACAGGTCAAGGGCTATAATAAAGAACTACACGTGAAATATGCTTTCACCCTCGACAAACTACATTGATTTTTAAAGAACATTTTTAATAACTAACCAATAAAACACCAATAACGGAATGTTAAAACGTACTTTTTATCTGGCAAAACGTTCTCCTTGAACTCTTTACTAATTGTGAAGAATTTAGAGACGCTTTTCTTTTTCTAATTCCAGGTCACAAATTACAATGAGCTCTCCGTCTTTTCTTTATTACACTTTGTTTGTCCTAAAAAATATACTGTAACACTGAACTGTTTAAATTAAACTGCAGCCTTTCAACATATGTACAAATATAAAAACATAATATTTCTTAGTTTTTTCTACTCACCAGATGAACGTTTTCTGTGTTATCGCCTCCAAAGTTCCAGTTTGAGTCCAGTTCTTCTTAGACGAGACAGAAGTGGGTCCTGGGAACTGAAGGACTAAAGAAGAAATCAAAAAGCTTGATGTTATTGTAACACAAGCATGATGACATGTTTGAAGCCCGAGCCAGAGAAAGAGTTTTAACCTCTGAACTGGTAAAACTCGTTGAGCCGAGGCGAAGACGAGCCGACGTCTGATTGGACGTTATTAGATGACATTCGTCAGCGCAGCTTTTTAAAGGGCTCACAATAATTACTGTTAACTGTCACATGCACTGGCACACGGGAAGGAAAGGTTTTTGTCTCTGTGTTTATCTGCCTTTTCTCTGTTAGCGAAATACATAAAAGAATAATGGATTTTAATTAAACTAACAACGTAATAAATGGATGAATTTATTAACATTTGGATTCAAACTGATCCAAGATGGCCGCCACAGCTAATCGACACTGGCAGAGACAAAATGACCATAAGTCAGTTTTACAGATATTGATTACTCCGTACTCTGAGCCAACGGTTTGGGTGAGATCTTAGCTTAAAACTTGGGTCATAACTAGAAGTTGATTCTGTCTGCCTGTTAGCAAAATATATTTTGATCTACTGGCTGCTGCAGCTAACTGACCTTAGCAAACATAAGCTATATTATAACTTGTGCAGTTCTACAGATAATGAGCTAAAATTTGGTGTGGTGGTAGCTGAGAGTCGTCTTTAACACAAACTCTGAGTTCTACCAGATCTCCAAATGTTTTGTAGCATCTCACTTATTGTCCTCATGCTGCTCATTAATCCAGGTAGATACATCTAACAAGCTTAAGTCGGGTCCGGCCGATCGTTAGCACCTGATGGCTGTTTACTGTTCACAGAGGGCTGAGTGATACTAGCAATCACAGCATTGTAAGAGGGGGACAGTTGAACCAGGAGGCTCCACCCCTGTTTAATGATGGACGGTTTCTTTTCACAAAGATGGCCTCCTTTACTCCTCTCTCAAACCATCGTTCCTCTCTGTCCAGGATGTGAACATCTTCATCC